ACTATTCTAGCAAGGCAAACGTCCAGGTATCCTACCATGTCACATCAATCGAAACAAATTTTCGCGATTTGCAGGCAGCAAACCGCCAAGTTGATATTTCTTCGAGTAGTTCTGATTTCAGCTGATAAATGAGGAGACCTTGACTTAATTGTGGTAGTTCTGCCTCGGCACAGAATAACCAAAGGCTTTCGGTTTGAACTTCGTGTTTTCCCAACACTTGGCCTTTTCTAACAACGATTGGCCTGGCAGAAGTGACCATTTCCATATCCCCCAGTTTATCACAGCAACAGTTTGCGACTATCGATCGTGCGTGTTTGGAACTGTGAGTCAGGACTGAACTTTTTCGGTGATTTGACAGCACTGCTTCTGGCAAAGCACATACAGCCTCAAAGTATCTTTGCGGATTAATCAAGAAACTTCTTAATTATGTGTCTTCAAGTGTACACCAGAAAAGATAATTCCTCTTTTTCATTATCGTCGTATCAGCCTCCAGAACATGACAATTCACGGAAGATTCTTCTAAATTAGACTTTTAAGGCCTATATAAGGACCGGTTTGAAAAGGACGACGTCTCATACTCAGTAAAAATAGGCTTAATAAGAGCCTCCTGGAATAGATGTACTCGTAATAAAACCGAACGAAGTGCATTGCTTTTTTCCTAATAGGTTATTTCAATGCGATCACTGGAACAATAAATTTATTGGCCTGACGTTTCTGGTTCTCACTCGAACCCATCATCAGAGACAGTCACAGATAAGGATAATGATGGCACAAGGAGTGCAGTATTTGTAGCACGTGGCTGCCGTGGTACCATATGCGCACTGTAATTGACAGCTCTCGCAATCACCGCTGGGGTCGTAGTTGGTGCGATGGTGACTTATCACTCCGCGTCCGAGTCGTTAATGGCCGTGATTTCGTCATCCGCGTTGGATGCTGGTGTGACGACTGCTCGGCAAATTGGCTCACTGTCACTGCAATAATGGCTCACCAGCGTCCTGACGCGGACTGACAAGCCACCATCGCATCAATTACGACCTCAGCGGGGATTGCAAGAGCTGTTAATTACAGTAAGCATATGGTCCCACGGCAGCCACGTGCTATAAATGCCGCACTCCTTGTGACACCATTACCCTTATCTGTGACTGTCTCTGATGAGGGTTCCGATTAAGAAACCGAAACGTCAGGTCAATAAATTTCTTGTTCCAGTGATCACATCTTCGTCTTCTGAACTGCTACCTAGAACTCGCCTGTTCGCTTCTATCTGCAATTTCAATGCTATTTTATTGGCAATAGAAGCGAAGAGACGAGTCCCAGGAAGTAGTCTTGAAGAAGGAGACACGATCGCTGGGACAAGAGCTTTATTAGCCTGACGTTTCGGATTCCTGAGCGAACCCATCATCAGAGACAAAAGCAGGTACGGGTGGTTCAAGCACAAGGGGCTTCAGTATTTATAGGATGCAGTCGTCATGCTACCGCATACCTATGAATATTCACGGCTCCCCCCTTCATCAGGGAAAGTTTCACTTGGTGTGATGACGGTTTGATGGCCAACATTCGCGTCGTTAATTGCTGCAATTTCATCACTTGCGTTGGATGTTGGTGTGATGATTGCTCGACCATCTGACCCACCGATCCTGAAGTTGGGAAAAGTGTTCATCTACGCGCTCCCCGCGTGGCCAATTACTCCGCCTAGGTGAAGTCTCAACACCGAGTATGGAAGGGCAAGGTCATTGCACCGGCAGCCAGTAAACCAGGACTTAAGCAGCTCTCGGCTCACGCGGTTGTCACCTCTAGCGAGAATTTCGGACTCGTCGAATTGGAATGCGTGGCCGGATATCGTCGAATGAGCCGCAACTGGAGATCTGGCGTCATTTCTCCGCACGGCTGCAGCGTGTTCGGCCATTCGCGTTCGGAGCTGTCTTCCAGTTTCTCCGACTAAGTTGCTTTCTGCGCAACAGCACCAGGTCCGATAAACGACTCCAGACGTTTCTTGCCGTGGCAGCGGGTCTTTCGGTTTCATTACCTGACGCCTGATGGTTGCCTCCGGCGTGTGTGCAACTCCACCCCCAAGTGGTGCGAGAAGGCGGCGACAGCCTCCGGAACGTCCTTGACATACGGGTGCGCTGCTTTTATCTCTTATGAGGGGTTCGAGCAGGTATCCGAAACGTCAGGCTAATAAAACTCTTGTCCCAGCGGTCGTGCTATTTTATTGCTAAAAATACACCCGAAGAGTCCTTGCTAACATTACACTATTCCTTAAAATACTGGCATGCTGTCCATTTCGTATCCGAAGTGTGTATTACCGATAAAATTTAAGACGTCGAAAACATTTAACCATGATGTAGGGGACGCTAACTGAACATGCTACGGAGCTCAATCGTCCCGTTTTGCCTTGATGCTCTTACTCTCTCAAGCACAGCCAGCAACCGCACAGTAGAGCATAATATAGGCTGGAGTGGTCATTTCTGGCCTATTGGGCATCGTCAGTCGGTCATACACAACCCCGAGGTGTGAAACGCCTGGTGCTCAACCGCCCGATCTGTTGGTTAGAAATCCAACACCCCTAACCACTGAGCCATGGTCTCGTTAATGTCACTCTATATTTAATTAGGTGCAATAAAGCAGAAGTTGTAGAAACATGCTCGGTAATTTTGTAGTTGCTTCTGTGATGCAAGTTAAATCTTTGGAGTTATGGGCATAGTAAATCAGATTATTGTCTGATGGCGTTATTACTGTGTCCCTTAACGCGACAATACGCAACTTTTCAGAGTCGGAATTTACAAAAAGCATTGACAGTAGGATCAGTTGTCATCAAATAATTTTCCGCGGCATACCATCTGCTTCCTGTAGATTCGTAACGTTGAGAACAAGTAATGAATGCAAAGCAAGTTGTATTTTTAGGGTAAGAGGAACAATACTAGCAGCATAAGAACAAGCTAAAAGCCCTACACGCGTGTTTCACCCATATTCTGCTGCTGCACGACATAGCTGAGAGGGATTTGGCTCTCAGCATTCCCCGTTTGCCTTCTGGTAAATACTCCAATTTAGGAAATGTTGCTTTTCAATTTCCACAGGATTTTTCTGCGAACTCGGAGTTGATCAGTATATTCTAGAGTCTATAGGCTTAATTGTATTTGCAGGTCGCGATGCGAAATTCACCGCGGAAAACAAATTAAAATACATAACGACGTCCAAGGAGTGACCAGGGTAGTGTTTGGTTTACCACGTGGTCTCGTTGACTGCACAGTTCATCTTTACTCTCTGCGTGTAGGCGACTGACTAACATCGCAATGTGCAAAGAGAGACCGAACCTTTGCAATGAAATCGACGACGTGGCTTGCTTGATCTTGTCCTGCTACTCTTCAATCGTTTGATTCACAGACGCACACACGCTTTCGTACGACATCGTGCCTTCCTTCTTTCATTTTCTTGTCGAGTTTGAATTGATCTTTTTCGTCATCCGGGTCGTGTGTTTCGGAATTTGACCTCCAACACTCATATTCATGTTCTTGGACAGATACATTTTTCTAACAATTAAAAAGTTTCTTCACAAGTGCTGTTAGCTTTTAGCATCTGCGTACTTCGCCGCAAGGCCGAAGTTCATATTTACTACATGTATGACGTTCTTTCCTGGCTTTTGGCACTTAATTTAAAGTTTTTTTTTAGAATACGTGTTCAACTATAATTACAGAACACTGTGATGTTAGCCTGTCAGGAAAAAGAATAAATTTTCGACCCGTTGATATTTATAAATCCAGCATTTTTCAATAGTCCTGCAAGGGTATATTTGAACAGTGACTTACAGAACAGTCATCAGATCTGGAAAATTACAGCAAAACTTTGTGTGCAAAATGTTTCCGTCTTTTCCTATTGGTTTGCTCCAATTTTCGTCAGCGCATAGTAGCTTGCATACCTGATAATTATATATAAGCATGAGAGTGTCTCTCACACTCAACGTGCCTCTTCAACTTTCAACATTTCGCTAATATCGTCAGATGGGGTTAGCAGTGTATATCTTTGGAGCAATTTTCCTCGTGATCATCGTAATAGGTATCGTCTTCTAATATACAGTGATGACTAGAAGCTTTCGAACGCTCAGTTATTTTTCCCAAATTTACTTCTAATTAGGACATAAACGTAATATCCTTTTAACCAGAACTTCTTAATGCGTTTTTTATCCTTGCAAACCTGTTTTCAAAACTAACTTGTATTTTAACTTGGAAGTAATTGAACTCCAACAATATTTCGAATATACTGAATAATTATACGCTAGCGTTTTTACATCCAAGGCCAAGATGAATTTCTGATCAATGGACTTCCCCGGGATTGCGGAAATCGCCCGGAATCCCAGACTCCGCCTGAAGGTTACACGAAGAAAAAGACAGAAGCCCCTCAAAATAGCTATCCTTGGCAGGCAATAAATTTACATTACGCAACATTTGCATGGGATTGGAAACCCATAAGAGGCATTTTGCAAACATATTGGTTAATTGTAGACAGTTTCGTATTTTGGAAAAACTCGGCATGATTCGGTTGCATACGCTTTAAAACGCTATTTCAACACTATTCTCATTATACGGCACCTAGACTGTGATTAGTAGTGCGCCGATTGCTAGACTTCCCTGTAGACATTTTAACACGACTCAACCGGTGGGAAGTTGAAAAAGGAAGCCCCTCCCTCCCTGCCAAAATGCAGATGGCCTTAAGCTAAACTCCAGGACTAGTAAATACTGCCGTATTCCAACCCCAGAACTAACTCAAACCCCGAATTTACGCTTCCACAAATTAAACTTGGATATTTGAAGTAGGACCTGAATGAATATTCACTTTGGTAGGTTGGATTGATGTCTTCTGCGTATGGTGCATTTCCATTCTGTGGAGGGACCCTGATTGCGCCCAAGTGGGTGTTAGCTGCCGCCCATTGTATAATTCCGGCACTTCAATGCAAATCAGCCCCACTTGGCCAGCCATTCTCATATAAGGAAATCACCGGCAACACAATGGTCGTTCGCATAGGCGATCATAACTTTACCCGACGCGGGCCTCCAACATTCAGCGTCATAGTAGACCGCATTATAATACATCCGAAATTCCCTATCGACGGAGCACCCATCGGCTTCGACTTCGCACTTCTGAAGCTGAACCAAGTAGTCATACGATGTACGTCAACTCCTCCTCTACGCAAGTTAATACGATATACATTTGATCAGTTTTTATCAGTTCATTATGGGAACCGTTTTGTGTATCGTTATTTATAGTATTGTCTTTGGTCAACCATTTGCAAATTTTATATGTTTTTAAAATCAAATTTTTTCCGCTATCTGCACTGCAAATTATTCGGTCAACAGTCATTTTGAGCTAAAAACAAACTGTCCTAATAATGGTCCACTTAGGCCTCTTCGAGTGGGAAAAAATCGCTATCTAGAACTTGCCCTATAGTCATCAAAAGGTAGGAAGTGAGAAAAATATATCCATAACATTCCGGTTGAACAAAAGCCGAAATTTTCTGACAAGATCAGATGACGTTGTGATCTCGACTATCTACCTACTTTCCTCAAACTCATCCATGGGGTTGAATCCCGCTATAGACACGTAATTGCTACTATACCTATTCCCCTATTTAGAGTCAGATTGTTCAAAAGAGTTCGTGCATTAACGAAAGATCCATATCGGTAGCTTAATTTTGGAACTTTTCCATAATTGTCAGTGATAATTATTCGTAAGAAGCAGAGATGTTATGAATTAACAAATTAACTTGAAATGTTGACTAAAACCTTTGTCTGCAAAGCTCCCGTGGCGGGGTTCGCTTGTTTGCCAGAACCCAAATTAAGCCTCCGCGCTGGACATTTCTGCAATTTTGCTGGCTGGGGGGACATTCCGAATCCACCACATCAACCACTTCCTGAACAACCGGAAACTCTCATGGAAGTGCGCGTGCCAATTGCAAAGACATCCGATTGTGAGAAAGCGTTTCCGGTGGTTGATAAAGAGGCTCACGTCTGCACTGACAACACGTATGGGGTAAGAATTACTATCAGGGCCTGCAAAGAATGAATGTAACAAGTTAACTCGTATGACTTTTGGTCTATTTAGGGTCTCTGTATCGGTGACAGCGGAGGCGGACTGCATTGTTTGGTGAAAAAGAAATGGATATTTTATGGCCTAGCTTCCTTTACTGACGACAACTGCACGGGAAAGTTCAGCGTCTTTGTACTCAACGGACCGGTGCTCGATTGGATCAAACGAACTGTAATCACAAATGCTTAAAGGGCTTTGTTTGCACTACACCGAAAATCTAACGGCACTATTGTACACTATTGTGTCATATGCTTGTTTCACAGCCTGTCCCGCATAACCTTTAAAAAATAAGTGTTTTGCCTGGACAAAAATGAATTTCCTGACAACAGGCAGCACGGTGCCTGCCTGCCGGTTGTAAATTTTGCTCGAACAATCAGTAGGCCGGTATCTTAGTTACCCCCGCGTTGACGCCCACTTCAGAATGTCATTTTCATCTCTTAACGTTAGTTCTCGGCAGTTATCAGCAATGTAATGAACTGTACGCTGAGGGTTAATTATGGTTTTTTAAGTGAGAGCAATGCACGAACATATGTTTCATCTTTATATTTTGCTTCTCCGGACATATTTTTTTATTGTTTCACCGCAAGAAAATGGGTTCTGTTTCGGTCTCGCCTATTTTCCTGAGTGAAACCTACATCACGAAACCTCACTGAGGTTGCACTACGGCAGGCAAGTATGTTAAGTAGTCCTTCGCTTCTGTAAACTCTCTGCTCGATGGATATAAACCATGGAATGTAAACCTAAAATACCTAAGTATATGGCCTACGCAGGAAATATTTGAAATATCACAACGGCCTCATCGGACGCCGGATGAAATAGAACTGTAACCACCGTAATGTGCATTTTAAACAACACAAGTTTACTAAGCGCAATACCTCTACTCCTGACAAAAAATTCACAGACATTTATGGTTATTCTATGCATAGAAAACAGTTTCTGCGTGAAAGAATACACCACGAAAGCAGATTGACAGGAAAATGATTTCCCTGCGAGCAACTATCCAATCCCAAACTAATGATACGGCGAAATGTTACACACGCATGTGTCACATTTGTAGTTTGTCTTTTTAACATTTCCGACAGGGGACCGCAAGCACTAGAGATGACAGTTCGGCTGTCGCATCCGACGATGTCCGTCGTGTGCTCCACAGCAAGGTGAAGCGGGAACAGTGGAATACGCGTGAATTAGTTTATAGTTATAGTGGAAGCGAAGAGGCGAGTTCCAGGAAGTAGTCGTGAAGACGAAGACACGATCGTTACATCTACCGCACTCTCTCCTCCCCACCGGGGCCCGGTGTCCAGACATATTCAGGAAGACCAGATGTGAGGAAGGGCGCGGGTTGCTGGCACGACCGGACACGCACCTAGGCGTACCACTACACATGTCCTGGTCTACAACAAAAACATGACCAGGATTTTAACCAATCGCAGTACCACAACGGATCACAAAGATAAGGATGACTGGACAGCCATGCTCACAAACTGTATACCCAGCGGACGCGCAAGCGCATCTACCGGGGTGCCAGAGAATTGCCAGCTCATACCAGGCTGCAAAGGTAACGGTTAGCTGATCCCGGCATGATGGTATTACCGACAAAGTCAAGCGAGTTTGGAATGGCCATTTCTGGCCTATTAGCCGCCGTCAGTCAGTCATACCCAACCCCGAAGTGTGGAACACCCGAGGCTCAAACTCGCGACCTGTTAGTTAGAAGTCCAACGCTTCTAACCACTGGGCCACGGGCCCCTTGTCCTGTCGGTTGCGATCGGGATAATACAATGGTATAGGGGCGTTCACCGATAGTTTCTACGGAATTCAATCGTCCCGTTGTGCCTTAGGGCTCTCTTTCTTGAATCCAACTAGCAGCCGCACAGCGGCGCATAATATAGGCAGAATGGTATTACCGACAATGACAAGGGAGATTAGAATAGCCATTTCTGGCTTATTAGCCGTCGTCAGTCAGTCATACCCAACCCCACTTCGAGGAACAAACCACAACGAGTGTTAAGCATTTGAAGCTCCCGGGACACTTCAATCTCCTCGATTCAGAGATATGCATTAGACAGATCCAGTTCGGCGAAACAGGTTCCACTATTTAGCTTAGAAAGACGATCTTCCGGCACTGGTGGAGGGAAGTGGTGCTTATCCAAAGCAGCACTGAGATCAGTGGAGAAATCAGCATAGATTCGAACACTGCCAGTGACTATGTTGACGGCCACAATTGGAGCGGTTCATGCGGAGTAGTTAGCTGGCTGGAGAACAGCAACTTGCTGAAGATGACCAAGTTCTTGATCGACTGCTGTGAGCCATCTTGGTCGGAAGACAGGTTTTGCATTGGGCTGAAGGAAGAGATTGACTTTCACCTTAGTGCAGCAACCAACACCGTCTTAAAAAACGGAGGCGGATTCCTGTCTTAAGGTGGACGTCAGATTTGCAGCCAGCTGATTCGATAAGACAGAAGTCCGCCAATATAATTGCCAACTATCGTAAACACGGTTAGATAGTGCTTATAGAAGACTGTGTTTCTCGATCCACTCAGGGTCAAGTAGGCTAAGGTTCAGGTGGTTGGTAAGGCAGCATGTTCCCTTGAATCGAGTGGCATCAAAGATCGCGTCACATTCATACTCTCCGGTGAGCCAGAGAATTCCTCCAGAAATATTCAACGCTTTTTGTTCGATGCACACATCAGAGGCCGTGCTGTCATGTGCCAAGTGCGTTTGGAGATGAGGATACTGTCGGTAGTGGTGTCTTTCTGGAGGCATACTATTTTGCCATGGACAATAACTCTAAGTTGCTTTCGCCGCGCTTAAACCCTTGTTTTAAACGTGGTTAAAAGTAAATTAGATTTTGGACGGTAATGGATCGAAGGACGTTTGTGACTCCTCGTCTTCCTCTTGCGTATCCTTACTTCGGAGGGTTGCCCGGCTGGACCGTGATCTCCCCTGTGCCCTTAATTATGACATTTCCGATAAACGTGATTCTGATATGTCCAGAACTGAAAAAAATGCTAATAATTACATTTCCAACATGCTATTAGTGGTTTTCAGGGCTTGACTCCAGGGACTTGCGTGTTGACATTGACTTTTATTTGTGACAGCATGAAACCTCGCGACGGCAAGTGGGGCACTGGGCTATTCCACAATGGCTAAAGATTGTTCAGCCACTGACACTCGACAGTCAATGTCCGTAGGGTGGAGTTGAGGTCTTGTTCAATCATACTGAGCGGGCGAATTCGGATTTCAGCATTGTGAGATGACTGAAGAGCGCACGCAGAGGTGAGACACTAAGACGCACTTCCTGTCAGCATTCACAGCTTGAACTGTTGGCCCTCCCTCCTGACGATGCTGGTGAGCGTCAGAAAATCGTCTGTCTCACTCTTCGCCAGTTTCCGGCAGTAGTCTCGGATCTTGAACAGGGATGTCTTCTCCTCGAACGTCTCTCAAAGTTGCTTGACGGCGTCACCGAATATGAAGTTACCGAAACACATAAAGTGTATTGCTCGTACTCCTTGGTGCCCGACTTGCGTAATAAAAAGGCGCACCTTACATGCATGTTTGGCATTATAAAATGCAACGCGGAAAATGTATTCTTATCGTCTAAACCAAAAGTCAGAAGTCACATCCGAATCGGCATCATATACTGCTGACAGTTCGACCATCGGTTTCGATGATGTCCACCGTGTGCCCCACAGTTGCAGTAGCAATGGGAGCAGGGACGGTGACTTACGCAGGAGTTTATAGTGCCGGTAGATTTGCGTAGCATCTACCTACACTCTCTTCTCCTCCCTCGCCCGAGCCCGTTGTCAAGACAGAGTCAAGAAGACCGGAGACGAGGGAGGCCATAGGTGGATGGCTCGGACGGATCCTCACCTTGGCGTTCCACCACACCCCCTGGTCCACACAACAAATGACCAGGACTATACTGCTATCAGTAGCTACGACCGCTGATGTGGACTGCTTCGCAGAGGATGCTGAATTGGGAATATCCAGTGTTGAACTGAAATTGGACCAATCAGAACCTGTCCTTGAGTGGTCGGTATGTTGGTTGGAATTCTAATTCATCTGACTGGTTCGGCAAACTTCCGGCCTTGCAGGGAGCTGACACGATATCAGCATGCGCACCGAGTGTGGGCTTTCGCTATGCTGTTTCTGGCATACAAACTTCAGAGTATAATCATGGTACTAATTTCAGTAATTATTTAGTGTACGACATTTTGGCCAGTGTCCGAGACGGGACTTCTTGGGGCCAGACCCGAATTGCAGGTGAACATTTGAGTCGAAGACATTTAAACATGATTGAATAACCGAACAATGTCTATTTTGTGAACAACTTCTACTGCGAGCAGCATAAATTCCATGTGACAAAGGTTCCATACTGCACATCCGACATAGGTACTAGCTAAAATCCCAGACACGTGTTTCGCAATGCCTTCTGCGTGGTTTGTAGCAAATGAACTCCAGAGAATATTCAAGCAAATAATTTCAGAAACCATTATGTGCAGGACGTGGAGTTAGGTGTCCGGGACATGACTTCTTAGGTGCAGACCGAATGGCAAATAAACACTTGAGTCGACGTCGACCAACTACTGTGGAATAACCGCGTCATGTCCATAGTGCAAACTAACGGTACTATAAGTAGCATACATTCGTATGGCAAAGGTGTTATACCGTATTCTTGACACAGAAAGTCTCTCTACAGATGCATTCCTTTCTACCAGGAACCCCCTCTGAAAGCCTCCTACATTTTGTGCGCCAATCATTTGAATAAACGAATGAAGTTAATCCATTTCGTGTTGTCCTTGCGATTAGCATTAATCTTGAAACAGTCATCATGAAGATCGGCGAAAAAAAGCACTCGTGTACGATGGCGAGTAGCCACTACGTGAAGGAGTTTAACAATCATGAAGAAGGAGACACGATATCTGGGACAATAGCTTCATTGGCCTCATATTCCGGATTCCGGCTGGAACCTATCATCAGAGACAACAACAGATGCGGGTCTACGTATCTGCTCGACCCGCTATGCGACAACATGCCGACTGCATCCTACAACTACTGCGGCCCCATCTGCACGAACCACCCGTATCTGCTATTGTCTCTGATGATGGGTTCGAGCAGGAATCCAAAACGTCAGGCGAATAAAGCTCTTGTCCCAGAGATTGTGTTTCCTTCTTCACGACTGCATCCTGGGAC